TTTATTACAAAAATTAGTGAAACAATTAAAAATTTAAAAATTTAATACCAAAAATTATTTTGTACTAAAAAAAATAAATAATTTTTTTAAAAAATGTTTAATTTATTTTAAATTCAAATATTATAGTAACTATATTAAAAAAAATTTCTTCATTAAAACATTCAAAACTTAGTAAAAATCATAAAGATCATAAAAAAAATTTTCAATTAAAAATTAAATTTCTTTTTGGTTTTGGAATAAGATAATTACGCAACGATATAAATAAATTAAAAATTATATAACTCAATTTTCAGGGATTTCCTTACATCAGTGATTTATATTGTTAAGAAAGTCAAAAAGGGTCAGAAACCAAAAAATTTTTCTGGTTTTGATTTCCGCATTTTTTACATTTTTATATTTTTAATATCTAGGTTCTGCTATGAGATTTTGGCATAACATCTAATTTAATTATTCGAATTATATAAAATTATAATATATATTATATACTATGTAATTATATATTATATAATAAATATAATATAGGAAATATAAGTCAAATCAATGATTGGACAATTTTAATTATTCATAAACATACAAAGACACATTTCTTGTGCTTTCGGAATTAGCCGTATCAGCTAATTTAATTATTCGAAAAGAAAAAATACGTCAATTTAATTAATTAATTGATTCTTATAATTAAAAAATGAAAAAGATAGCAAAACAGTCAAAAATCTCGTTCTGAATTAAATTTGACACTTTATCTATGCATTGGGATTTTGCCGTAGCAGCTAATTTAATTATTCGTGAAGAAAAAGTACATCAAATAAATTGTTTCATATTTTTTTGTAGTTAATATCAAGAAAAGTTAGCAGAACAGTCGAAAATTTCGGTCAGAAATAATTTTGACACTTTTTCTATGCATTGGGAATTTGCCGTAGCAGCTAATTTAATTATTCGTGAAGAAAAAGAACATCAAATAAATTGTTTAATTATTTTTTGTAGTTAATATTAAGAAAAGTTAGCAGAATAGTCGAAAATTTCGGTCATAAATAATTTTGACACTTTTTCTATGCATTTTGAATTTGCCGTAGCAGCTAATTTAATTATTCGTGAAGAAAAAGTACATCAAATAAATTGTTTAATTATTTTTTGTAGTTAATATCAAGAAAAGTTAGCAGAACAGTCGAAAATTTCGGTCAGAAATAATTTTGACACTTTTTCTATGCATTGGGGATTTTTTCGTAGCAGCTAATTTAATTATTCGTGAAGAAAAAGTACATCAAATAAATTGTTTAATTATTTTTTGTAGTTAATATCAAGAAAAGTTAACAGAACAGTCGAAAATTTCGGTCAGAAATAATTTTGACACTTTTTCTATGCATTGGGAATTTGCCGTAGCAGCTAATTTAATTATTCGTGAAGAAAAAGAACATCGAATAAATTGTTTAATTATTTTTTGTAGTTAATATTAAGAAAAGTTAGCAGAACAGTCGAAAATTTCGGTCATAAATAATTTTGACACTTTTTCTATGCATTGGGCATTTGCCGTAGCAGCTAATTTAATTATTCGTGAAGAAAGAGTACATCAAATAAATTGTTTCATATTTTTTTGTAGTTAATATCAAGAAAAGTTAGCAGAACAGTCGAAAATTTCGGTCAGAAATAATTTTGACACTTTTTCTATGCATTGGGATTTTGCCGTAGCAGCTAATTTAATTATTCGTGAAGTAAGAGTACATCAAATAAATTGTTTAATAATCTTATTTTATTATTATGAAAAAAAGTTAGCAGAACAGTCGAAAATTTCTTGTCAGATATAATTTTGACACTTTTTCTATGCATTGGGAATTTGCCGTAGCAGCTAATTTAATTATTCGTGAAGAAAAAGTACATTAAATAAATTGTTTAATTATTTTTGTAGTTAATATCAAGAAAAGTTAGCAGAACAGTCGAAAATTTCGGTCAGAAATAATTTTGACAATTTTTCTATGCATTGGGAATTTGCCGTAGCAGCTAATTTAATTATTCGTGAAGAAAAAGTACATCAAATAAATTGTTTAATTATTTTTTGTAGTTAATATCAAGAAAAGTTAACAGAACAGTCGAAAATTTCGGTCAGAAATAATTTTGACACTTTTTCTATGCATTGGGAATTTGCCGTAGCAGCTAATTTAATTATTCGTGAAGAAAAAGTACATCAAATAAATTGTTTAATTATTGTTTGTAGTTAATCTCAAGATAAGTTAGCAGAACAGTCGAAAATTTCGGTCAGAAATAATTTTGACACTTTTTCTATGCATTGGGAATTTGCCGTAGCAGCTAATTTAATTATTCGTGAAGAAAAAGTACATCAAATAAATTGTTTAATTATTTTTTGTAGTTAATATCAAGAAAATTTAGCAGAACAGTCGAAAATTTCGGTCAGAAATAATTTTGACACTTTTTCTATGCATTGGGATTTTGCCGTAGCAGCTAATTTAATTATTCGTGAAGAAAGAGTACATCAAATAAATTGTTTAATAATTTTATTTTATTAATATGAAAAAAAGTTAGCAGAACAGTCGAAAATTTCGGTCAGAAATAATTTTGACACTTTTTCTATGCATTGGGAATTTGCCGTAGAAGCTAATTTAATTATTCGTGAATAAAGAGTACATCAAATAAAATATTTGACGTTTGTAAGAATTATAAACCTAAACATTAACAGTAGATTCTAAAATCTTTGTCAGAAATAAGATTCGATAAGTATGTTTTTATGTGGAATTTGGTCGTAGTGTGATAGTGGAGTATATAGATTTATTGTTAAATAAACGAAGCTGAAGTAGGCAACGTTTATGTAAACGATTTTTAAAGAAATAAGTTTTTAAATTTAAAAATTCTATAATTTTTTGCCTAAAAAATATTTCTTGTAGTTTTCATTAAGGGAATGTGGGCAAAGGAAGTTTTTTTGTGGTTTTAAACTTTCTCTGAAATAAAAAATAATTTCGGGTTAAAATTTTTTAAAAATGATTTCGTTCGGTACAAGGAATCTCGCAGTTCTACTCATTTTATATAACTGAAAATGTTAGACAAAAATCTTTTTTCATTTTAGAGTGATACGTATACTACCAAAACACATGTTCCCATACTAGGTCACGTGAGATGTTCCCACATACCCTTAATCAAGAAATTATAAAAAAATATTTTTTTTAAGCAAAAAATTATAGAATTTTGCATTTTAAAAAATTATTTCTTAAAAAATCGTTTATGTAAACATTGCGTACTTCAGCTTCATTTAAATAAGTCGTTTTTGACTTACTAATTATATTAAAATGATTGTGAGGATGAAAGAATATAAATTGTAGAAAATTCTGATAGAATATTGTGAAGTTTAGTGTCATTTTTAAATATTTTGAGAAACTAATTGTGGGATTTGATTACGGCAAATTTACGGCAAAATTATGTGTGTTCAGATTTTTTTTATCCTTTCATTTACAGTGGTTGCACTGCTAACTTGATATCAAGTTAGCAGTGCACCCTGTTTTTTTTAAAAAATCAAAAACGGCAAAATTGGGAATTTCACGAATAATTAGCGGCAAATTAGCGGCAAATTCTCCAATATTGCATTTTTGATTTTACGAAAGTTGTTTGTCTAACTTGATGTACGTCATCCCGACAGCTCCATGACTATTAAAAAATAGTTAATTACAAACGGTTATCAATTTTCAAACTATGGGAAAAGAAAATCTCATCGCGTATGTTTTTCTGATTTATGAATATACCTATAATAATAATAATCTTTTAATTATTTAAAACTATTAATATCTGCGGGGGATTTTCTTTAATGATATTTAAAGGTATAATCATAGTTAAATTTTTCTATAAAGAAATTTTGCATAAGTAATACATTTTTATATAATGGATAGTCAGAGTTATTAAAACGATATAATATATCCTTTTTCTTTCGCATATAAGAGTTAAGAGAGCAGTATACAAAACAAGGGATATTATTGCATCGTTACGGGTCAGTGCAAGTAAAACCGAGCTATGATTTATTAATAATGACAGCGACAGGAAAGCCAAGAGATATAAAAGCTGAAATGATTATCATCTGATACTTCTCAACAGTTCCGATCGTTACGGACTCTGATTCGTTTGAGTATATTACACTGTACATTCTATAGAGAGGTATAGAGAATATAAATACGAGCCACCTTAGCATTTATATGCTTCGATATAATAACAAGTCTTATAGTCCAATGCTCTAAAGTCTAATGCTTCTTAAGCTTACTTAGTTTCTCAGAAAAATAAGAGAAAAAAATTTCTTTAAACCATACCACATTAGCATGATTGATGTTCTGTCTATGGTACTCCAAATGTTATTTTTCTCAATCTGCATAAATATAGTGCCTTTAATACTGAACGAATTTTTCATGTGATTGGTTTCACATAAATCTTTCTCATTATCAAAAAAATTAACATTCAAGTTATGATGTTTAGGTATACAATTTTACCTTCAAAGGTACAAAATTTGTGTTAGAAATTTTTCTTGTTTTCTTTACTAGTTTTTTTGTAAAGCTTTTCTTTGCAGTCAAGGTTTCTCATCTGATGTTCTCTCACACTGCAATAATTCGCAATTCAAAGAGGCGTTGATATGTGTCAAATCGAATCCAAAGTCCGTGATCAATTATTGTGGCATTATTGCCAATTGAGATCAAGAATAGATCCAAAGAAGTGTTCTTTAAATATAGAAATATTCAAGAAACAACTACTTAAAAAGAATGAAAATTTTTGTTTTGACGTTACAATGTCTTACTTCGAGGTCTAGAGGGAGTCAGTTAGAAAAAATTGACGTTCATTTCGACGCCGAATTCTCGAAAAATAGAAGTAATATTTTCAAGATTTTTGTGTAATTCGATTACTTTAGGTTTAGTCTCGATGCCACGGTTATTTTTGTCAAATTTGGAAATAAATTTTTTTATAGTTTTCTATATTACCGACTAGTTTGAAAATTTTTAAATTTAATTGTTTTCTTTTTGCAGATTCTATTCTCGATGGCTTGTGTACCTTATCTTCAAGGAAGGAAGAAAGGACACAGAATTCTTTATACTTTTTAGAACTCGGTCTATTTTTACGGTTAATTTTCACATTTTCTAAATGGAAATTTAACTTGAAAGTAGGGATCTCCGAGGGCTATTTAGTGTTTGAAAGAATCTTCTTGAAGCTGAAAATTCGTTATTTAGGTGAATATTTTATTTTATTGGAAAAATTTAGTTGTAGCATTTTCCTTTTTGATGAGTATTTTTTTAACAGTATTACAATTTATTAAATAAAAATAAAACAATTACAATGTTTTCTTTAATTTAACATTATTTTTATTTTCAGCGCCATTTAAGGAAAGACGAGAATAGAGCCAATTAAAATTACAATATTGGTCCCTCGCATTTCTTTTATTAACGAAAAATAAAAATTTCGCGAATTTTAAAGGAAAAAAATTTTAAAAAGTTTAGAATCTGTGCGTGTTTTTAAAATCGTGTGTTTTTTCAATTAATGTGGATGCTACTTCTATAGACAACAAATGGTGAGTCCTTTTTAATAAATTAATTTATTTTTTACTATTTAAAAATTTTTTTTGTCTTTCTGCTTTTTAATAATTGAAAAATTAAATTTTCTTCTTTTCGACTATATTTTAAAACTGAATCATTTATTTAAAAAGAATTTGCACAACATATATATATATATAAACATACAGAATGTTATTAGTAATGATTGTCTTCACCGAAAAGAACTATCAGTTATCGCCAAATCGTTATATACATTATGCACTCGCGTGCTCACCTCCTTGGACCGAAGCCGGCAATTTGTTCGGATTGCATTGTGAAGATCTTTCCAATAGCTCCTTCTCTTTCCTCTTTCGGACACTATCAATGAAACCTATCTCTTCCACAAGTTTTATCTCTCAACCCTTTGATGTCTTTTTCATTTCTCTTTTTGCATTGCGACATAATAAATGTATATACTCAAATTCATTTTCTATAGAAATGAAATTATATTTCTCTAATAATTGCTCGAAATAATTTTTTCTTCATTAGTTATATATATATATATATATATATATATATGCGCTAAACAAAAGTAGTTAAAAAAAAGTTGAAAATAAATACGCTAATTTAAAAATTAACTCAAAGGTCAAAGTGGTAACTTAATAAATTTAATGCTGGTGACATTTCACAAGACATGTGACGTAATTAATTTTTTTTTTTTTTGCGATTCATAAAACCCGCTTTTTGCTGGGAGCGCGTGTAATTTTAGAATTCGCATGCTATTGCGCGTCATTAGCCGAGATTAATTATCATTAATTTATATCCCTTTTTTTCTCGTTATATATATATATTATATTGCTGCACAAGTTTATTTACTGAAAGAATTGTTAAAATCTTGATCGCATTTTAATAATAATCACGTTGCGCGCCTCGTATAGACGCCAGCGCATGATCTATATTTAGTACTATAATTTATGCTGCGCGCAACAAAAATGCTTTTTTTTTTTATTCTCGACCCTCGTTACGTTAGATTTTTTTCAGGGAAATAAGGCTACTGTATAGTTGTGCCGTTCCGATTATCAATTAAAATCAATATTACAGCCGTCTGATCGGCGTCGATTTTCTATATCGACTCTCCTCTTGCAAAATCTTTAGCGTTCATTAATTATATGGTCGAAGTATATATATATATATATATATATAAACTATATACTTGATCTAACAGATTTTGTTTCGTTTCTACAACAAATTTGTATTACTGTTGCAACAAATTTTTAGTTACAACAAAATTTGTTGTAGGAAACAAAATTTTGCATTAAAAATTTGTTGTAGTGTAATATATTGTTAGTCATACAGATTTGTTTGTAGCATCCCAACAAAATCTGTTAGTTCCACAACAATTTTTCTCCATTAACGTTTTTAAAAATAATTCAGTTTTCAGTTCTTTTTATTATTTATACGCGCTCAATGGGAGGTGTAAGAATTTACAATTTATGAAGTGTAACTTTCACGTGTAATTTGAAAAGTGGAGATTTTTAGATGTAATTTCGTAAGTGCATGAAATATACATTTGTGACTCTGTGTATAGCGGTTGTATATATATATAAAGACGCAATCATGAGATGGCGCAATTGGCTGCCAGAGTGAATAATATTGTTGAGAGAGCCACGCGGGTAAACGATAAAAGCCTCAGGATCGTTTCATGGCTTTCAAAGCCCGAGAGAGCCGCTCCACGATTCTCACAGTTGCTAAATCAGCCTTGTGCATATTTCTCTTTGGTTCCTCCCGGGCATAAAGATTCCGCGGTGATGAAAATGTCTGTTTGTATACGCAAAAAGGCGCAGCGCCAATTGTGATCCCTTCTGGAAAAATATACCCTTGATAATTTAATCTCCATCAATTCAAGTATACAGGTGCAACTTTTCTTTATTATTCTTACTTAGGTTCTTCAATTCGAAAAAATATATTGAATTCAGGGTTAGATTTTATTTTTTGCAATGTTTCGCAACTTGTGAGCTATGGAAACTTATATTCGCAAAGTATGATATTAAATTGTCTTATCTTGTGAAAATACGCGACACAGAAATCAATGCAATCTTCAAACAATTACGTGTCGTTGTTGACTGAGGCGTTGTTTGTAAAACGTAACTAGCAGCTGATTATGCTCATTAAATATAAGAAGTATGTAATATATTATTATCTCCTTGAAGTATATTGTCGACATTGGATCTAAAGTGGATATATGCAATATATATATATATATACTGATATTTATAGAAGCAGTGCGTGAGAAATGGAGGAGTCGCGACATAAAAAAAGAGATTGATTTTATATAATACGTGTGTGATTGCTCATTATGCACACATATCATAATATTGATCAAGCAACGTAATTCTTATTTAATAACTGCCATTACAATGATCACTGCTTCAGTATATATTTAGATTTTCAGGAAATAATTTTAAAAATAATTTAGCTATAGAAGAATTCAGTTAAATATTATTAAATTAGAAACTGCAAGGATCATTAATAAATGTCTTGAAAGTTTATAATTTAGAGCAATATAGATATCTTGATCATTTGAAAGTGCTTCAATGATTTTGATCGATATTAATAATTTTTTATTTTAAAAATTCAGTCTTGACAAATTTTAATCTACTATATTTGACTTTCATAGAAGTGACATATATAGTTTTCAAATACCTGCTATAATTACCATTTCTAATCAATTTGTTATATGCTTGTAATTATAAATTTTTCAAGATTACGCGTGGGTTTAATAATTTAATACCATAGCTTTTCTTTCGAATATCGAACTCAATTAAAATTAAATCGACTGAATTTAATCAGTATATATTTATTAATAATATACATTAGAATAGTTAGAAATTTTATATATATTTGCTTTTTATGGAAGTTTATTTTAGAAAAATATTCGCATGGGAAATAAAATGAATGAATAAAACTGCTGCGTGCGAATCATGAAAAATTTTAGCTACTCATCGTTGATGGGAGCTCATTCATTTGAATGCAGTGCAATTCCATACACGATAATTTAACATTAAACTCGTATAAATATATCTATATGTCTTTTCATATAAACATGATCTTCACTTAAGTGTTACTTATCGACCACACATTAAATATTTTTCATTAATAAAACGTAGCTTGTTTAATATTTCCGAAAGAACATTTTTTTCTTATTTTCTTTATGGCGAAAATGATGTTAGTCATTAATCGGAGGCTTTTTCCAATGTATAATTACAAAAAGAAAGAAAGATTCTCTGTATAATAAAAGTGACAAGACAAGAAATTTATATAAAGAATTCACTAAAAGGCGTATGTACAAAAGGAGTATATAGTCGCACTTAGCAGAGGAGGAACGCGGAATGCGCCAAGAAAGAAAACGGATCGCTCTTTCGCTCCTACCCCCTTTTAATTTATAGTTCGCATTCGTTAATCGTAAATTAACAAACCTCGTTCCCCCACGCGCAAAGCTGAGATAGCAATACAACATTAAAAAAAAAAATGGTGAACATCTACAAATATAAACTCCATACTATTTTTGAACCTTGTTTATATCCTGTACATGATTGAATTTTCAATAAATGACAAATTTAATTTTGAATTTTTATTAAAAATTCAACTTTAATCTCATTATATACTTGAGATTAATATAAACAAGAATTGTCTATTTCCGACAAGAATAATCTTTTTCTCGCGTAGCTACTTGTCAGTATTATCTTGTCACCCCCGAGGTTTTCTCGAACGGTAAATACAAAACTTGAATGTTGTTGAATTCGGACAGAATGCGTGCATTGTTGAGAGGGAGATTTTTATCGCTTGGTAACTCAAGCTTGTGATTATGTTTTTGACGTAACGGTTACGGAGGAGAAAATTATAAAGGAAATATCTCTTTAGTTAAAGTTAAATATTTAAATTACTTTGCACAGGACAATATGTGTTGAAGATTTTGTTGTGCGGGGAACTTGGAAATAAATCTGTTCATGTTGTGGCGTCAAAATCAAATTAGAAAGGTATCATAAACATTTTCCGCGAAGTACTCAAGGTTATGCCTTAGAAAACGGTGCAAATATAATGGAAAAGTCACATGGAATATACAGTAGTTATACTTGGCACATAGTACATTTTATTCGCATGCTCATTAGGATTAGATGGAACGAATTGCTTTGATATTATTATATATATATACACACGGGAAAACAAGCTCGTAAAAAGATATTCATGGGAAATCTCGTAAATTGCAGACAATCACTCCTTCTTTGCGCTAATACAACTCCTGGGATTAGGAATTATATATATTGCAATCTTTTATCTTTAATGGTGCAATATGTCATGGAATATTTTAATTCTTCGTTAATAAATGCCACCTTTTTTTTATAAAGCAGAAAAATCCACTTTTTCCATGTTAATGAAATCGTTATGGAATTTATTAAATTTTCTCATACATTGATTTATAAGAATCATAATTTATATTTTTGAAACAAAAAAATTGGAAGAAGAAAAGCAGAAGGATATAAAATCAGATAAGAGGTGACTAAAAAGTATAATTAAATGACATTTGGAACAATTGAAAGTCGTCGTGTGGAGGAAAAGTGATTATTGCCGGGTATTTATATGCCTTGAGGCTGTGCAATTAAGTGGTTGTATAGGTACTTTTGCGATCGAATAAAAACAGTTCGGGCACAATATAATCAGCTCGTTATCGTTGCAATAATCGAATCGCATATATCAAATAGGGTTGTCGATTGACTTTTATTCGATGCTCTGAATATGTTTGCCTCATCAAAAGTTGGTTCCCTTTCTGTATATATATATGAAGAATAAAATTTTACTCCCATCAATTTTTGTGCGGATATTACAAAAATCTCACACGGAGAAAAATGAATTAAATCTAATGAAATTTAACTATTTCGTATTCAGATTATTAGTCCTGAATAGTGGATTTAGGGTCCTTTAAATGATTGTTGTTTTTGCTTGTTTCGACCCTTCTTGAATCG